CGGGCGCGGCGTTGTGGTGGGGGCTTTTTGGCCGCTACCAGTGGGCACTGGGCTAGCTTCTCTGGCGTACATGGGGCACAGCGGGATGGCTGGGGTCCCTCACCACCAGCCAGGCCAGGGCCCAGCAGCACTGGCAGCAGCACCAGCCAGGGCAGCAGAGACTGTACACCAGTCATGGCAGGAGTGAGCAAGGAATGGGCTGATGGCGGCTAGGCACACAGAGGAACAGCAGCAGTAGTTGCTTTGAGCACCGTGGGCTCTCCCAGGCCATTTATACAGTGCTGTGTGTGGCTGTTAATCTTTAACCTCCGAGTTAATGATCATCTGGCCAAGAGGGCCGGAGGAGCATCATTTCACTGGCCATTCGTGTCCCTGACCATGCTTCTCCTCCCATTTCACTTTCCCCCTTTGTCTTTTTTCTGTTTTTTATTTTTCCCCCCTCTTCCCCAGACACGTAGGAATGCTTTTATTCCCTTGCCTCCACCTCCAGCACAACTGTTAACAGAGAAAAATGTGGCAGGGGGAAGGGAATGGTTTCCTTCCCCTGTGGCATGTTGCAAGTGTCTCTTTTTCTTGACAGTTGATAAAAATGTAAATGTTTAAAAAAGAAATGCCGGTGGGGGAAGAAAGGAGGTGGAAGGGGAGGAGGGAAACGTCATTGAAACCCAAGCCACTGGCTATGCATTTCCACAGCAACACATGCAACAAACCCATGTTTGATTTTCATCATGTGGCAGCAGGTTAGGGCAACATCAACCCGCTGAGCCGGGAGTCCTGGGCTGGGCTGCGTGGGGCTAGGGGGAGGGGGGTGCTGCAGCCACTGCCCTTGTGCACGCAGCATGTGTGCAGGGAAGCTGCCTGCAAGCAGCCTCCGGGCACAGGAGATGTTCCCAGGCTTCTTTGTCCCTGGCCCTGTCGCCCTCTCCTTCACTTTCACCCAAAAAAAGAAAAAAACAGTTCCCAAACTATCCTCCTCTTCACATGGCAGTTGCAATTACAATAAAAGCAAAAGTACTACGTATGTACTAAGCTGCAAATAGCAAATTCTGCTGTCAAGTCAGACTGTCAAGGCAACGTTTCTTTTCTAATGCATTTAGTTCTCTTTTGTAAAATGCATCATTCATGTGAAAGAAAGTGAGGCAAAGCTGCAGAGCAATGCTTTATATTTTATTATTTTTTATTGTACTTCTACTCTCCTTTCACTTATTATTATATTAATCATGCTTTACTTAAATTGTAGTGCTTTTAGTATTCATGCTTTACTTTTAGTGGATTTTAACCTGCTATATTCATAAATCATTTCAAAAAAGTATTCTCATCACCTACAGGCATTTACAACTGGAAGAAGCTTTTTCACCTAGCCACTTCATCGTATCATTTTTGGCTATCCAATATTTTAGCAATTTGGTGGAATGTAAAATGAAAAAGTATTTTCCTGGCTCTCCTTCCGGATACCCAAAAGGGTGTCATCACTAAAAATCAGCTTACATTTTGAAGCATATTAAGCAAAACTAGTTTTACAGAGTTTTGAAGAATTCTAAGGGAATCACATTTGTATGACTGGGATCGGATTCTGTCTGACAACCTGGGGCACAATAGTTTCTGTGGAAAAACACAGCAGGTAGGCTTTTCCAGCTAATGTTCCCTTTTCCTATGTAAACCTTTTTTTTTTTTTTTTTCTTGGATGTCCTGTGTAGAAAATGATGATTCTCCTCTGACTGCTTATGCAGTGAGAATCCACAGAAAAATAGTGGCTTGGGTTCTGCTCCCTTCTTTACTCTCCAGGAAAGGAAACAATTCAAAATCCCTTCCGTGAAAAAGAAAAGCCAAATCAAAAGTAGAGCCAGCTGGAAGATGATAAAGACCCAAAGAGCTCATATGCATATACATATATGCATGTATTTATTTTTTACATAGCTATACACATGTATTTTTTGTTTTAGGTTGCTTCTATATAGACAGAATTGAGGCTTGTGACTAAAGAGTGAAACTTAATGCGAGCACGTTGTTCCTTGCCTGAGCATGTAGATTCATGCATCTGTGTTACAAAGGCTGGTATCACGAAACTGCCATTAGTTTTCAGGAATCTCTGCCTTCCAAAGGACCATATTCCAGCTTTTGGCATATTTCATTTCATTCACTTTTCACTGCTGCGACGCAGCTGGTAGTATCTGATTGCCCAGACATTTCCTAACCACTGGAAGCTACTTAGAAACCAGATTTTTTTTTTTTTCATCTTATCACTTAATGATAAGAAGATGAAGCCCTACAGGTTATGCAAAATTTTGAAGGTATTTTTGTTTTGCTTCCTTTATAATCACAGGTCAGCTCTACATGACAGCCTGACCCCATGCTGTTTATGGGCCTTTGTACATCCAAACTGAGGAAACTTAAGGCTCTACTGCAGCAGACTTTGCCTGCAGATGCCTATCTACAGGAAAGCCAGACATGTATAAATCAGTCCTGTCGTATTTTATTTGTATAAATATAACCCACATCCATCACAACACGTTGTGATAACTTAGGACAGCTTCAGTCAACAAAGCAATGTTTTTGTGTAGGCCAGAAAACATCAATGAAGTGAAGGTAGTGTATACGTTTATGTAGGTTCTGTTTGATGTAATACTACAACTCATATACCAATCTTCATCTCTGACCCTGACATTGCTTTAAAGAACACAAGATAAGAGTCAGGAGGTTAAAAACATCCGTGATGTAAAGTTGTGTCTACTGAAGAGTTTTGACAGTAAATGTTCTAACTCATGGCCTCTAATTTGAACCACTTGTCAGGAGATACTACATGAATCCTAAGCAAGGATTATTTTTCTACAAGATTTTCTGATTAGTTTCTCAGTAATTCTTACCCAATGACCCCATTTTGAATGTTAAATAAGTTTTTGTTTTGCTTTTTTTTTTCTTTAAAGCTTCATGAAGTTACTCGTAGTACATAAAGCTTTATATAAGTTTATGTGCAAGCTATCCTTATCCTCTAATCACCAAAAATTTAAGTAACTTGCTGAATAATTTCCTGCTAGGACTGTTTCTCTGAATATGTTTTAAAACAAGCAAACAAACAATGGAATATCCTCCTTTTTTTTTGTTTAGGTAAGAAGCTGATCCAGAATTTAATATCCAAAACTCCTACGTATAATATATGTACATATACATAAAAGGCCGCTAGCATACAAAGAGAAACAGCTGTGTTTGTTAGAAATGCAGAACAACTACACCTTCTTCTCGTTAAATTGCCCTGCATCAATGATGCTTTCTTTCAGCCATTTAGATTGCTAAAATCTATTTAAAAAGAAAATCCTGAATAATTTAAGTGTTTGTTGATTGTTTGTTTTCATAGTTTCCACTTCCTAACAATAACATGCATACTCCTTGATGCTATTTTTCTAGCCTGGTTGGGTAACAAGGCCTTTCAGAATTACATTCCAGATATAGATAATCAGGTGCTCCAAGTTTATTCTTCTCTAATATTGTCTAACTTTTGCAGAAAAAAAAAGGATAATTTGCTAGAGTATAGAATATATTTTAAAACACCTTACTGATTGGAGTGGAGAAACTCAACGAAGTCACTAGTGGGAGATGAAAAGTGAGAGTCTTCAGCTTCACCCCTGCTGCTTAGGCAGAGGCATCCCCAAGACCACCCACAGAAACCGGGGAGTTTACTGGCAACCAGATTAGCTCAACAGGGGATTTTTAAAATTTTACTGATCTCCCTGTTGCTGGCTGCAGGCACCTAAAGTATCCTCATCTGTTTAAACGTCTTTGTGCACTTCAGCCCTGGTGTCCCTGCAGGTCTAGGAGAGGAACAAGTGTTTGCCATTGAGGCAGCAATGTGGTTCTGCCACTGTGCTACAACCTACAGATTCTGATTGAAAGCAAGCATATCTTTATATCCTTTAAACAGTGCTAGTAAGGATAACAATCAAGTCATAGGACCTAGAATACAGTAGGTCAAGAGGATCATATGCTCTTGGTGGCACATGGAATTGGGGGAAAAACATGTCCAAACTACAGCTACAGCTGCAACATTGGAAACAGGGGTGTCTTGGAGGCTCAGCCCCTTCTGTCTCAGCAAGAGAGAGCAAGGGAACAGGAAGGCTGTTCTGGTCACCAAAATGATATTCTGTTAAAATGGGGCATTTATATTTGCTTTGCCCATTTACTCTGATCACCCTTGTGCTGATTCTTGCAAAAAAAAATCAAATAGTTCGCCCAGCTACTTCTTTGACAAAAAATCTACTCCTGCACTTCTGATTTCAGCAATACTATGCTTACTAATTACGATTATTACTAATGTTGTTGGTAACACTTTGGGTATTTTTTCAGGTTTCTGCTTCCCCAGAGAATGAGGAATGGAAAACTTCATTTCTGGTCGTTTTGGAGAGCTCAAGACTTGCACAGAGAAGGAAGCTGCTCTGGGGACTCAGGTCACCCCTTCCCTCAGGTGGCCGAGCATCGTCTCCACTGAGTTAGCAACTGATCATTTAGCAAGCGTGAAAGCTTTTGATGCCCACCATGAGCTTAATCTATGTGCATGTGCATGTTCAAGCTCTTAGGACTGGACCCACCATGAATCAGTTGTCCCAGGGGATTTGTCCTATGTGTGGGCAAACCCATCTCAGTAAGCACTGGGGAGGAAATTGCAGCCCCTAACACAGGGCTGAGGCTGCCACTTGCCAGCTTAATGCTTGGAGCTATGCAGGGCCCTCCAAGCTGAGCACGTTTTTGCAAACAGAGGCCTGCAGGGGTTAGTCCTAACTGTTATTATCTTGAAATCACACCGTCAATAAGACTAAATGTCACACGAATATTTGCCTGACCTATTGTATAAATAAGATCTGCCATCAAACACAGAGATCACACACAGTTACTGGATTAAAAAAAAAACAATATAATTAATGTATAATGAAACAAAGCAAAAAACCTATATTAGATTGTCAAAGCACTTCATTACAGATGAAAGCAGAGCACCTCTCTTCACAAGCAACTGTTTGACTGCATTCATTAAATCACCAGGATCTTGACTTCTGTAGCAAAGCGATATGGAAGAGAATAAAATTTCTAGGGCTCACAGCTCACTGACTATGGGTCAGGGGTAAAAATAAGATAGTTACAGAAGGGAATTATTAGCTGTGTCAAAAGCTTCTCTCCCCTGAAATCTTTCTAACCAGGCATATGGAAAAAATGCCTAAATGGG